CTTCAAGGGCGTATCCCTTGAGTTTCTCGAAATCAGCAGGGTCGTTGGACCAAGCACATCGTTGAATCTCTGGCCAGTGCTCCTTGTATTCGTCCGACAGGTAAACGTCCAACATTTGGATGAAATGTTGAGCCTGCGTGGCAACAGCGGCTGCAGCGGTGGGGATGATGGTCGAGACAACCTCCTCAACCGACTTGCCTCCCTCAAAGAGCCGTTTTAGAAGCAAAGTCCCATAATCTCCGAGCAGCTCACCAGTCGTCCCCATGGAGAACAGGTCGCGGACCCGAAGGAGTCCACCAACCTTGACCGCCTCGCACACGATCTTGACAAGCTTCGAGAGTTGATCGTTCGCAGTCTTCGCACCCGCCCGCAGTTTGAACGAGCTGGCTGTGTCAAGGTCCAGGAAGACGTAGGCGAACATGATGGACAACGCCAGGTAGAGCTGGTCGACCTCAACCCCGATGGGATTCAGGTCTCCTGGCTGCTTGAGCGGCAAATGGAACATGCGCGCAACAAATATGGCATGGGACGGATTGCCGACATCGCGGCACGCGTCAAGCTGGTACCATTCGCCTCGCAGGCGCTCAGACCGGGCAACCACTAGTTGAGTGGTCAGGTCTTCGTAGAACTTCTGCACCTGTGCAAGACCGTTGACCGGGCAATAGAGGGCCTTCTCGACTTCCTTTCGCTGCGTCGCATTGGCCGCGCTGTCCCCGCTCAGCATGTAATCTTGATGAGTGAGATAGAAAGTATGTGGGCCCCAGGGCACGGAAAACGAGGCCTGGTCTCCAAGAACACCGGTGACAGCCTTCCACGACCGAATGGAAGTCGGAACTCCAATGTATGTCGGTCGGTCGAAGTTGTAGTCCTGCTCTTTGCCGAGTTTGGTCAAGATCTTACGATTCTCTTCGGGTACTGTCAGGGGAAACATGGCATACACCGAGTTCCCACGATAGTAGAACGGCAGAGCTCGCATTAGTAAGGTATAGAAGCAACCCCCTTGTGCCACCGTCGGGTCGGATTTGACTTGCGACCAGCCCCAATTGGTCAGGTTCGCAGGTGTGTAGTCGACCGTGTAGAATCGATCTCCCCTGGTAAGAGCCACGGCGTCGGCCAGAATGGTTCGAGAGATGGTATATCCCGGACATAGGCCCGAGCCAGGCTCCAATGGATCCTTTGCATCTTCGGCAACGATACCTGGATAGAGCTCGACGTAGTCTGGATGCTCATAAAGCGCTTTCAAGGAGCGAGCGACCTCCTTGTTCTTGGTGATATCGGAGAAGGTCTTGTGGGGTTCCAGTTTGAAGAACTTCCTAAATTCGTTGAGTGTCGCCACGTTCCAGGCTCGCGCTTGCTGGATACCCAAGACGTCGATGAGCTTCATCACGAGGGGCACGTTCCTGGGTCCGAACGCGCAGGCCACATCTTCGGTAGCTTCCGTCAAGATCTTGATAAGATCTTCATCCCGGAAAGTCCCTCTCTGTGTGCGTTTGTATCTGCCCGAGTCAAGATCCCACTTGGAGGGATCCGGGCCGCGGTCGTCTAGCCACTTCTTCAGCTTCGGTAATAGCTCCCACTGAGTCACTGTAGTGACGTCTCTGCCGGGGAAAAGAGACTGGTACAGATCATTGGTCCATTTCTCATCCTTGATGCTAATGGCCGAGTGCCATCTGTAGACCAAATTGAACTCGACGCTGACTTGGTTTCCCACCCCCAAGGGGACGCCTGCGCTGTCAAATACATCGGAGAAGTTCTTCCGTGGATCCAACGTCCATGTCGAGTTCGTGCGATTGAGATTGAGAATCGTTCGCACATAGTCGTTCAAAATGATATTGACGTAGAGGCCGCACGTCACCAGTCTGGCGGTCTGAAACAGGTCGTTATCGAGCTTGGCGATGGCCGCAGTGTCTTGGTCGTTCTTTGGCAGTTTGAACCGACCTCCCTCGTTGATTTCCTTGAGCTGCATGGCCGCATAGTTGTGGAAGCGGTTGAAGCAGACAATAATGGCGGAAACTCCAGGCGGGAAGCCGAGAATGCGCTTCTCGCAGAAGCTGTCTGGCTTCAAAAGACCATCCTTGAAGGTTCTGATTTGGTTCTGCTCTTCCTGGCTGCTCCCATACAGAGGCGCCAGGTCCAAATAGGATGAGGTCTTGACCACGGAGTAGTCGGTATCATCAGTGTGGAAGCAGTCGTGGATGATTATGGTAGCAAGGTAGAAAAGCATGCTAGAGATTTTGTTCGGATGTTCTCTGGGCTCGTCACCCCGGGCGAAGATGGCGTCGAAGATGACACCAGGGTCGGGAAGCACCCCTGGCTTGAGAGTCTGAGGGGTGACGGTCCTCGCGTAATACGAACCAGCCTTGCCCAGGTGCGGGTACATGATGTTGTTGTTGGACCCGTCGGCAGTGCGATATTTGAACTCATCCCCTTGGTATGACAGGGGAGGATGCTCCAAGTTCTCCCAGAGCAACTTGATGAACTGGTTGGTCAAGTCATCCAGCGACTTTGACTCGGGAGGCAGTGAAGCTGCCAATTGGAGAATCTTCTCCATCTGTGGAAAGACCGGATTAGACATGATCAGAGGCATTCACTCCAACATTGCTTACTTGATACTGACGATCATCGACGAGACCGCCATCGAACAAGGTTGTGTCGACCAAAGAACCAAGTAGTCCAAGGTTCTCTCCTATCCGAGGTGCTTGAGATGCGACGTCCGCAAGCACCCTGGCCAGCAGGGGACGGGACTGCACTGTGGCGCCATTGATGACGGTACTGGTTGATGCAGAATTCGACCCTGCAATGCTTTCAAAAAAGCTTCTGATAGTGGTGCTGATTCGGGACCCCGTGTAGTCGTCACCCAAGCTCGACGGAAATTCGCGTGAGCCGTCCATTGCGTTGAGAGAAGTTGAAGAAATCTTCCTTTTACGCGCCATTGTTGGCAGGCAGAGGTCTCAGCTATATAGGTGAGGCCCCCGTAAGGCGTCGAAGGAACACAGGCTACAAGGAGAGGAGTCAATTCCGGATCTGGCAGAAGCGAGTGAGGTGTCGCGGTGGAAGGGGAAGGCAGCAACATCAGTAAACGAAAAGCCCAGGGAGTCTCGCAAATGCTCCCTTGAACGAATAAGACTGAGGGCTGAGCATCGAGCTGAGGCTCCTGGGCCCACTATCTCAGCAGGGGTTCATGGGGGGGCCGAGAACTCGTGGTCTGCAATGGCGACGTCCTGATTGGCAACGGCCAGTCATGGTTACCTTCAGGCCATGGGCCCTTGGCTCGGTGACCAGCCTCGGCAGCACGCGCAATGGCGCCTTTTTGATATCGCTAGAGACATTCGAGTGGAGACCAGTCAGAAAGTAGCCAGGAGTGAACGGTGTGCTTGGGCAGTAAGCAGAGGATAAGCGTGGAATAACAGTATTCAAATATTGGCCGAGAGGAAAATGATCCAGTTGCTTTCTCGATGCTCTTAATCGAAGGATTATCCCACAACAATCTGCTCGAGAATCATCAGCTTCAGCGCCTGGAATGACCGGAGAAGAGCCATGCGACCAGTCCCGCTGCCAATTTGGTTAACTCGCTGTAAGCCCAAGGGGCCATCCGGGGGGGATTGATAGGAGCCGTTGTCTAACCAACCTTAAGCACACGCACGTCGACCAGGGCGCTTGAAACACCCAAGAATGTACCTCGTACCTAGTTACCATTGTTCTTTTGTTGCAATGATGACCGGTTGATCCACAGCATCTTGGTCTGCCTTACCTTGAGAAAGCACAGACTGTAGGTAAGACCCTGAGACCCCTCAGTCTTCGAAATAGAATCTTCTTCCGTTCCGCGTGTAACCGGCCGATCGCCAGTGAACTCTGGGTTCCCAACTTGGAGCACCCACACGAACAATAGGCGTCGTAACTAGGTGGCTGCGTCACACCACAAAGGGTGTTGTGGAGTACAATTTCAGCCAGCCTTCACTGTTGCTTACAGGACAAGAAATGTATGTCTTGAAGCTCACAATTGCTTCGATCCGAGATGCAATCATCAAAGGGAGAGCCATTGGGACACTCTGAAATACCTTTCGTCCGTGTCGGGAAAGTGTTGTACTCGTAGACTGCTGCAATATGACAAAAGCAGCCACCATACAACGCTAGCAAGCGGAGCCAGCCTCGTCAAAGAAACGCAGGAGAGATCCTTTGAGGATTATTTGCAAGGATAAGGGCAGAGACTGGTAGGGCCCCTTCCAAATGACACTGGGTCCAATTATGTCCGAAAAAGTCTGGTGATCTCAAAGTTGTGTGATAGGAGTACGATAGCGTGAATGGAACCCGAGGGCTGCAAAAGGCGTCGAGTTGCTCATCAAGTTTGAAGGCAGCATCTATATCAGCCGCTGACTTCAGCCCCGAAGAAACCATGTGAAGGCAGCTGCAGGGGTGGACAAGAGGTGGCACTGGCTCTCCCCTGACTCTTAGAAACAGGTTTGAAAGAGGGCGGTTCACACCGGTTACAAGATTGACAATACAAGTGCTGCTCAGGAGCAGAGTTTGTAGGAAGACGGGAGGGAGCCGTTGTGCAAGACTCAACACAGCAAAGAACTGCTCAACAGGAATGAATTCAAGTCGATGAAGCAACATCTACAATCAAACCAACCTAACCAACCTCAGCCTGGAATTCTCGAAGGCAACAGACATTATAGAGAGAAGATTAATGTTGCACAAAGTGAACAATGAAGACAACCAACCCACCACCAATGCAGCAAATATTGATATATTCCAAGTTGACAGAGAGACACAGATGAAAAGACCAGCCAAAATGAAAATCTGCTGTGTCAGACGGCTGTCATTTGATTTGTCAAACCTGAATCCGCAGCATCCAATAGCATAGCGCCAAGATTTTCTGTCTTGGCATTAAATCGCACACGAAGTTTTGATGGACCTGTTCAACTTCATCGCCCGCCGACTGCGCTCCAGTTCATACTCACAAAATTTGAAACAATCCCAGAAATCACACTGCTGCCAGGATGTCGAAACGAGGGTACGTGGCCCAATCTTATCTATGGGCTCCCTTTGCGTCGTCGAGGACCCTCAAATACTTGTCGAACTTTCGTCGTTGAGAAGAATTACACTGACTTTCTGAAACAGCCGTGGTGGTGCCTCCGGCAACAAGCTCAAGATGACTCTCGGTCTTCCTGTGTATGTGCTTCTCGATTCCCAAATCTCAAACCTCAGGCTCCTCCGCATACCTCCCACTCAAAAGGCGACGGTGCCGCAGTCTACACGGATTGGTCTCAAGAATATTCAAGTCTTCACCCACCAACGACAATCCCAAGCGATGTTATTTTGTGGTTAGTGAGAGTATACTGATGGAGATAATAGAGGAGCCGTCATGTCGTGTGCGGATAACTCGGGAGCGCGAAACCTCTACATCATTTCCGTCAAGGGAATCGGTGCTCGATTGAACAGACTACCCGCCGCTGGTGTGGGAGATATGGTCATGGCCACCGTCAAGAAGGGAAAGCCTGAGCTGAGGAAAAAAGGTACGTCAAACAAACCCATTGAGCTTTGGATTCGACGGCTCACTATCGATTCAGTCATGCCCGCAGTCGTCGTTCGACAGTCGAAGCCCTGGAGACGGCCAGACGGTATCTATCTGTACTTCGAAGACAACGCTGGAGTTATTGTGAATCCAAAGGGTGAAATGAAGGGCAGTGCCATCACAGGACCAGTAGGAAAGGAGGCTGCCGAACTGTGGCCTAGAATTGCAAGCAACAGTGGCGTTGTCATGTGAAGAGCAAGACTTGTTGAGCAGGAGAGAAACTTTTCGCGCCAATGGAAGGGTTTAGCAAACATATCCTAGGTTATGATGACGGAGGCAAGGACAATCCTGATGCACGTCGGCGAAAATTGAGATGATACCACAAAATTCCTGGTCATGAGCGACGGACCACGAAGAATGAATTCCAGAGAATAAAGACAATCCCTGGTTGACAGGATGAGAATCAGACAGTCTACCCTGCAAAGAATTCTGCCAGCTACGACTTTGTCTGCGCACCAATGGCACACGAATGGTCCAGCCACTTTCAAGGACATCTGCATCATTCGACCTGGGGGCTGAGATGTGGAGGACCAAAAATGCAAGTGTCAATGAATGATAATACTCGCATGTGATTGATGAGAAATCGAGTATTTCCAGCCCTAAGCATCGAAATCCGAGTGACGAGAACATTGGTCATGAATGTCGCGTGGAATTGAGTAGCCCTATTTCAAGGTACCAGGCGTCACAGATTCACTTCGGGCGTGATAGACAAATCCTGTCGTTCCGACCACTATCAAGGCCAAGGGCGCTGCTTGCTATCGCTCGTAAAAATGTTCGTCTAGACAACGCCAGCCCCTCATGTTCTGGCCCCCTGTGACTTGTGTCCCAAGCATCCCGGATGCCTCTCAGTACCAAAAGTATGGTTCTCGAATCGCGTGGCAAGCTGCCTCGTGCCCAGCTGCATCAATCTCTTTTTCTCGGTTTCATCATGGACTGAGGGGGCGATAGTACCGACGAATACCGGCATCACTGAGCGTGGATCCGCCCCAACGTCCACCCAGAGAGGCAGGAGCAGTTGCGGCTCAGCCTAATCACAAGTGCCTCGTACCAATGTCAAAATGCCCATCTTCTCAGCGTGACCGGCCCAAGTGTCGAGGATTGGAACTTTCCGGTGGCTTGATCTGTGGTAGGTGTCGTTCGGGGACCAGCTGTCATGCAAGAGCTCCTGCATCCAAACATACCTGCTGATTTGACACAGAGTTGAGGGGACTGGTTGGCACACGAAGCCCGATCCCCTTTCTGTTCAGCTGCATCTTGCTCTGTCGGTTCGGCTTGACAGTTTGAGAGGGCCCAGAAATTGGAGAGAAGGATGAATCCATTAACTGGCACGCTCGTCATGGCTTTGGATCAACCCCTCTCTTTCACTCCACAAACACCATTTGGTGGCTTGCTCTGCAGAGAGGCTAACTTGGACAGGCGTGTCAAACTCACTGACTGGGCCGGCTGCATTTTCGACTCCTCGTCCAGCCTGAAGCCGTTGTCTGCAACAAGACATGGCACTCCCCAACAGCTCTCTCCGTTTCTCCGAACATCCCAGTACGGCTAGGCACCCTCCCCACAGAGTTTCACAAAGACATTCGAGGAAGGATGGAGGCTCGCTGTTATCTCGAAACGAGGAAGATCACGAAAAGAGGTTTGCGATCGGCGAGGATCTGAAGGAATTAAGCGAGAGGCAAAAATGGTCGACCTCTGAGAGCGTTACCAAGGGAGCGCAGTGGGACTAGACCCGTCCAGATTCCCTTCCCAAAAGCGCGGTCCAGCACCTCCAGGGCGCTACGAGGGTGTGTCCACAGTGTCCACAGTCGCCAGAGTCCCTCGTGGAATCCAGGAAAGTTTGACAAGGTTTACCTGCTCGCTGGGGCTTCAAGTCAAGGATCCTGTTGGACCCCAACCCCGCGTCTGCAGAGCTGGCCGCAGTCTATCCCAACAGCAGCAAAACCCTGGCGCCCGATATGGATGGCAGACCGAAGGTGCCGTGTGGTTAATGACATTCAACCTTGTCCAAGCGTCTAATTACCAACTGGGAACTGAAGTGCGCGAGCCTCACACCATGCCATTTACCTTTTTCCGCCTCCAACTGGTCAATGAAGCCACTGGCGAATGAGCACCATCTGGGACGATGTAGTGATTGGGATTAGGTACTCCAACCCAATACAGAACAACAACGCACAGAGGGTGAAACAAGGGTGAAGGGATATGGTAGACTGGCGCCAGCACTCCATCATGTGAGTCGTCATATTCCCCGCCTTACATGAACAGGCTGTATTCATTGATCACTAGGTATTGTTTTTCCCTTCGAGGGGCTGGTCTACCGTTTAGCACTCCGTCCGGCTCCGACATTGGTCTGCGCTTGACAGGGCAGTGGAGCTTCTCAACCCCAGGACGATCACCACGCTTCAAACCACCAAAGACCCCGAGGACAAATGACTGTCCCAACTTCTGTGATCAGGCTCGAGATTATCTAACCCCTGAGCACCTCTAGCATGACATCAGAAAGCGCAGCATCAGCACAGATGGTCTCTTATCAACCATGAGGCTCCCAGCTAAACCCTGCAGTAATTGGCCTAGCACACCCCATCGAGACGAACGAGGGTAATCAGTGAGGGGGTCTTTGGAGACTACTGTCGTATGGGCTCAAATCGGCTTCTGCAGGGACTACGAGAAAGACCCCAAGAGCTCCAAACTCAAGCGTTCTGGCCCAACCCAATCAACGACACCACCACCCTCGACGGACCAGAGACATGTTTTCAGTGGCTGCCCCTTTAGGCTTGCATCAGTGGATATATTCTGCTGTTGGACAAGAAGCCACGAGGTCTTCAGCTGGCCTTGGCATGCGCTTCGCAACAAAGTTCCCCGGCGCATTCTTGTCATCATTTTTCTTGGGCTTCATGACAGTTGTTTGGCCCTGGACGCCGACAAGACTTGCTTGCCACGCTTGACAGGGCTGCAGATGGTCATTGCGCTCCGAAATCTATTCGTCTTCTCCAGAAGCGTACCCACCCTCTAAGCAGCATGTATCATGATGCATATCCCAGTCATCCTTGCCTGGCGCCAGGCTGATTCTCTTTGCGCTCATCTCATCCGGCCAGATTCGATCCATCAGACTGGTTCCCAAATACGAGAGATTTGTCTCCTTCGGGCACTTGGTGGGGGCCGGCCATCCCCAGACCCAAAGAACTTGGAAAGTCAGCCTGGAGATCCCCCTTCGTCCCAGCATTGTAGCCGACCAAGAGACCCTGCAACCTTCTCTTCCGAATCCCAGAGTTTTGGCTCACTGCCTTTTGAGATTCCCGACGGGGACACCATGTTGAATCCTGTTGAAGGTTGAAGCTAAACCTCGGCGGGCGAACATGCTCCGTCGAACCGGCCTCTCAGCAGTCACTCGATTCTGACCTGGATCCCTATTCTAGTTTCCCACAAGTCATTTCTCGACCAGGTGGGAGGGGTGAGAAAAAAACCTTTCCAAGGTCCTCTTAGTCACATTAGGCCAAGCCCAGGGAGTGGCAGCTGCACGGCGACCCGCGGGTAGCCTCTGATTCCCTCCACTTGTGAAAAGTGGCAGCCACTGTGCGTTCCTGCTGCTGGTTCCCTCAGGCGAACAAGACCAATCGTCTGCGGTATGGCTGCCTTCAGCTTCCACTTCCGCAGAAAGCTCGCCTCTTCTCAACCGAATGGTTTAGCAAGCCCAATAGCCCAGACGACAAAGGTCGATAGAACTGCCGCCAGGAATCGAGGCTGAGTCGACCCGGTGTCCCATTGCCTGGTGCGTTTCCTGAACTGCAGCTCCACGCGACGCAGTAGCTTTGGAGACTGAAATGCATGCATGTCGTGACCACAAGTTCTATTCCGAGCCTCGAATTGGTACTTACTACCCATGACGCCTCGTGGCATTCCAGATTTCTGTTCCTCCCCTCCATCACACCCGTGGTCCAGCAGAGCGTCTACTATGTTGACACCTATATCCCTTGTCCCTGCTGACAATCGGTTCCGCGAATGACGGACTCAAAACCGAACCTTTGTCATACGAGCGACCCTTTCATTTTTGGTTGATCTTCTTTCTCTTCGATGTCAGTTCCTTGTTCCTCGGATTTGTCGAACCCAACGTTCTTGTGGGGACGAATGTCTCTCAGCCTTGCCCATTAATACGAGAATCTTTCCTGGAGTCCAGCACGTCTTTGTCCGACCACATTTTTCACACCTTGCCGTGAGTATTGCAGAGATTTACAACGCGGAGAGCGCGTTCTGGTTGTTACGGACCATTCGGAACGTCCTCTCCATCGAATTCGGGTTTCTTTGCGCTCTTGATCTGTCAGGACAAGTACTGCTCGGGACGGTACAGAGACGCGGCTAGCTTCATCCGGCTCCAAACACCGACAGTATCTTCCAATCTGGCTCGAAGAATGGCAGGTCCTGGAGGTGGCCCGCCGCGTAAGAGCCATACAAAATCGAGAAAAGGCTGCAAAACCTGCAAAAGGCGACATATACGCTGCGATGAAACCTTTCCACAATGTCGAAATTGCACGAAACACAGTTGTCGCTGCGACTATATGGACCTGCAAGCTGCAGGAGAAGAGCCCGTGAAGGGTACCACACCACCAGATCTCTTGATGTCACCTGAACTGCAACTCCGACTCGACAACTGGCGACTGACGGGCGAGTCCCCCTTGCAGCAGCTTCAAGTTTCTGACAGGATATATTGGACACGATTTTCAACCATTGATCTACGTCTTGTTCACCACATTACGACACTATCAACTGACATGTACAATCTGGGATATAGCCCTTGCACGGTCTGGGTGTCTAGAATGCCTTCGTAGGGTAGATCGTATCATCCTAAATGGTTTTCAGCTGACTTTTCCTTAGGCTCATTTCGGCCGCTCTAACACATGACTTCGTGATGAGTGCGTTGCTTGCTCTGTCGGCATCTCATCTAGCATGGCAGACGAAGAACACAGACACAGTCAATCTGGCGTACCACCACCGAGGTGTCGCTATCAAAGGTCTCCATCAAGCCATTGGGGCCTTTTCGAGAGAGAATTCCGAAGCTATTCTCGCTGCCTCAATTCTCCTCTCGTGGCAGGCTACGGATTGGTGCGTTCAGTGTCTAGTAACTCTGCAACAGCTAACAGTTACCAGGCGCGGCTGGGCCTCACTCCAACAGGGAGTATCGACGGTATGTCAAACGGTGTCTTTTAACAAGCAAAGCTCCTGACCTTCTGCAGGTTCTGAGCGCGATGAGGATGTGGATACATGAATCAGAGCTCGCAAGGTACTTGGAAAGCCAGAGAACTATAGCGAGAGCAAGAACACCGGCGACACCCACAATGCCGCATGCCCAGGTGTTGATCCCTCATGATGAACTTCGCCGGATAGAAGAAATCATCACGGCCATTCACAATCTAAGACTGCGACTTTCGGCAAACGAAGAGCTCCAAGAACATGCGGGTCAACTACTTGATTACCTGCAGGACTTACAACGAGACTTATCAATTGCATCGCCCGACAAAGCGTTCGGCCGACTACAGCCACTACGGGACATGATCTTCTGGCTGCCACCCCTCATCCTACAGGGTCCTGACCCCGATCTGGGACCGTTGGCTCTACTCGCACATCTTTACGGCAGTGCGCTTGCGATTGAACCACTGTTTCCAGAGATTGGGGGCGCGTACCTCGGAAGCATGTCCATTGGACCACTGGAGAAGATTCATGACATGCTGAGAACAAGGCGTGCGACACAACCCCAAGACACGAGCATCTCTCTGGCCTTATCTCTTATGGAGGTGCCAATACAGATAATGACTTCATACAGACTAAGGCAGAGACATAACAGCCAGGGGAATCAGGGCATTGAGGGCTATCACCATTCTCCGCAAGGAAGTCCCTATGTGGGCCCTCGCATACCGATTGCTACTCCTAACTCAGACAGCTCAGCTGTCCCTGTCTACCCCAATTCACCGCTACACGCGCCCGGCAGTCTGTCCATGCCCGGATCGTCATACTTCCAAGCGGCTCTGGCGCCTGTGGAACCACGGCGAGAATCGTCAATATCATCGATATCGTCGATGGGGCGTACCCCTCCCATGAGTGACCCTCGGAGCCTCGCCTCAAGCAGCCCACATGCCCTGGGTATGGTGTATGGATCTCCAGCTACACACCCGCGAAGCAGCCACGAGCTTTCAGGGTCAAGAATGGACTACTTTGGACAAATTCAAGCACCGTACAATCAATACGGCAGCATGAACATGAATACTCGGTTCGTCGCTCCTTCACAACTCTGGACTTGACGGACATCTTTCGACTGAGTATTCTTCTTTCCCACAGGACCCCTCCGGCTACTATGTCTCCGAATGTGCAACAAGGGCAACCCGACAAAGGGAAAGAGCGGCAACAATGACATCGGACCGAGCAGGGGGGCTGGGCGATGACGTGAGACTGGAGATATTGAAGAGGGAGTAATCCACGATGACTAGCGAGCCATCGAATCAGGCCAGACGGGATCCCAGTGGGAACGGTAACGAAACCCGTGAGCGGAGGCCGGTACCAATGGACGTTGGGGTTGGCAATATACCAAATACGGCGGGGAAAAAAAACTCAATCAGCGTTTGTCCTGCGTTGTCATCTCGGTTCGGGGAGGAATGGAACGCTCTCTCTTTCTTTGACGCATATGGAGCTCGTCGATCTCTTGATTATCAAAGATCGATGATGTTCTCGGGGAGGCATTATCTGCTGATGGTGTATTCACGACGAGGTATGACTTCACCTTGCTGGCTCGGTACTGTCAGGAACGGAGTTGCTTTTGCAGTGCTGGACGGAGGCTCTTTCAGCTCAGCTTAATTTGGTTGGCCTTGTGTGTAGGGAACTCCAGTGCCTCCTTTCCAACCCCAGCCACTCCTTTGTGATTCAATGACGGCTTTGATGTGCCCTCACCGATACGATATATGTTAATTTGAAGGCTGAGTAGGATGGTCCTCATGTGCTCATTTGAAAAAGAAGCTTGTTCGTATTTATAGTTAATTTGGGAACGTCGGGAGCGTCGGTCCATGAGCCGCACCCTGGGAGTCCGGTTGACCCAAGCAGATGTTGTTCATACCTCGTATGATAGTGTCGGCAGACTGGGACGGTATACGGTGCCGGAAGGAAACACGAGATGGAGTCTTAACGCCTGGTGTCCGAAACACGAAGGGTAGACTCCTGTTACGAGGCACGGGGGTTACGGGTCCCCGATATTGAGCAGTTGCATCGTCCCGTGGTGCATATCGACCCGCATTAGCCGAACGGGTTCGGATTCCATCCCTCCACCTTGGAACACGAAGCTGTCCACGTGGCGAAGATAGTAGCGAGAATAATAGAGTGAGGGCTGAGAGCGTCATAAGCAGAACAAGTACCCTAGTACCTAGGTACTGACATGGGTCAAGGAAGCCGACCGCGGAGACATACAAGTAGCCACGCTTGTCTCCTGCTAGGTGGTTACCTCTATTCCGTTTGGCTGGGGGAACAGACCTGATGGAGACAAATCAAGCGCCGGGGGGACATTTTGCTTGGAGCATGGCAGGGGTATGTGGAAAGGGCATGAAAGAAGACCCACGGGTTGACCTGCAGAAGAAAGGATGCAGAGGGGAGGGTGGCCCAGGGTTGAGGTACAAGGTAGGGTACATGCCTATCTATATACGAGGTATGTATTGTGGCCTCCAAAAGGACAAGCATCGCTAAGTTACGGGGGAAAGGAACCTACTTATAAGCATCATCAAACCATCCCACTTTTATTACCCCCCTCGCCCCATAGGAGCCACAGTGCAGCAAGTTGACCTGCAGGGGAGCGCAGTTTGACCGTACGAGGTCTGCAGTTAATTAACCCCCACTCTGGGGATGTTTACATGTTCACAGATTCGTGCATATCCCCAGTTCCAACTGACCCATCGATCCGACGGCGCAGGTGTTGAAGTTCTCGCACCTGACCCTTCTGTTCGTCCGCAACCCCCTCTGAGATGGCTGAAGATGCCGCTAGTGGTGGTTGGAGCACCATCGAATCAGACGAAGTAAGCCCAACACAAGGTCCATGCCCCCTTGTCGTTCTGGTGTTCCAATTCGACCGCGCATCGCATTCACGATGGAATCGCTGACAAGTTGATGCTTGCTACAGGGTGTCTTCACTTCTCTGATCGAACAGCTGGGAGTCAAGGACGTGCAGGTTGAAGAGCTATTCTCACTGAATGCAGATTGGATCCGTGCTCTGAGGTACTCCCCGTGCCCTTTCCCCTCTGCGTCCCGCGCGGGTCGTTCCCATGTGAAACTGGCCACGCTGACACCGCCCCCGGCTCGTACTTCAGTCCCGTCTACGGCGTCATCTTCCTCTTCAAATGGATCGGCCAAGGTTCAGAAAATAAAAGTGCGCCTCAAGATGGCTCCTACGATCGTACCGCAGTCGAGGACGAGGGACTCTTCTTTGCCGCCCAGACGATACAAAACGCCTGTGGTACGCAGGCTGTTCTCTCAGTGGTTTTGAACAATGACAAGTCGGTCGACGGCGCTTCGTCGGGGACGGATGGGGGAGGAGCAAGAATTGACATCGGACCTGCGCTACAAGAGTTCAAAGAGTTCACGACGGGCTTTGACCCGGGGCTGCGCGGAGAATCGCTCTCAAACTCGGAAATGATACGGACTGTACACAACAGCTTCGCGAAATCTAGCCCGTTTGTTGACGAGACTCTACGTGACCCCAACGCGGGAACCGAGGACGTGTTTCACTTCATTGCGTACACGCAATACCATGGCAAACTGTACGAGCTCGACGGGCTCCAACCCTATCCCATCTCTCACGGCGACTGCACCTCGGACGACTTCCCGGACAAGATCATGTCTGTGTTGCAACGGAGGATTTCGAGATACCCAGAAGATGAGATCCGCTTCAACCTCATGGTCGTGTGCCAAGATCAGAGGATCAAGTGGCGCGAACTCCAGGAGCCCGGGCTGCTTGCGGAGGAGGAACGAAAGCGAGAAAAATGGGATTTTGAAAACGCACTTCGACGGCACAACTTTGTGGGCTTTACGGAGGAAGTGCTCAAGGGGGTGGTCAAGATGAAGATTCAAGATGGAACCTATGATGCGTGGATAGACCAAGCGAAACAGGTGACGGAGAAGAGAATGAGGGAGAAGCTGAGCCATGGTGCTACGTGAATCTGTCTGGCATCCGGGCTCGATGGTGGTTTTCTGCCATATCAAACGACAACAGTTCCCTACAATAGGGTGCAGGCCTTGTTGATACCCTGCTTGGAACAAGTCTTCCGCAAAAAGGCATTGTGATAGACAAATAGAGTAGATTGTGCATGTCCAATGGAAAGCAAACATTGACCAGAAAGGCAGTTATTTTCCATATTCCATCCCTTTTGCCACAGATTGGTATCACGGATTAACGTGTACTTACAATACCCGATCGGGCCACGATGCATTAAAAAGGAGGAAAAATTTGTGTCTTGGATGCCACAAAAAAGGGAGGAGTGGCTCTGATTGGCCGGGCGGGACTGGTGTAAAGGGCGGCATCTGATTGGTCGGCCGGCCAAATACTAAGTGCTCATCAGCCATCCTGGCCGCCTCCCACCACCACCCCCCGATACAACAGCACTCCTGCCGGACCTTCAGAGATTCTCATTTCCATTGTTTTGAATAGTTGATTCATTCATCTCCATTGACGTCTGATCTATTGTCTCAAGTCACTTGTTTCCCAGCCATCTTGTTTGAGTGCCACTCTGCCCTTTACTCCCCCCAAAACTTGCCCTTTTGCTTTCCGCCCCGAACCATCCTTTTTCACGCCATTCCATCCGCTCATCATTACACCAACATCTTCATTTATCCCTCATCACCTAGATGGAAAGTAACCTTGCGCTTCTCCATCGCGTATCCTCTTGCTTTGCACCATGTCAGCCACCGAAATCGACACTCTGTGGCGCTTTGCCTTTGGCGAATCAGCTATCCGACCCCTGCCCTACAGTTCGGAAGAGCTGGGCGACGATGGATGGCGACCTCTGACGGATCCGCAAAAATTCATCATGAATCTGGCCAATCTGAACCAGCAGCAACTCTACGCTGCGAGTGCTAACAATCAACTTGCCATGATAGACGCCCAGAATGAATACCTGGAGCTAGAACGCCACATCGCCAACATCAAGGGCAAAGAAATCACCAAAAACCCTAGAGATCTCCCGGCACCGGATGTCTTTGAGGAAAGGAAAGAAGCGGCGCTGTACGGTTACAAGTATGATGCCAATCGGCCAGCGCTTCTCCATGCCGGCATTCCTGGTCTGAGATCTGCCGATGATCTGACCGAGAGGGAAAAACACGATGTGCGCTTGTTCCAAGAACCCTTTGAGCAAGGCGGCTTCGTGCCCAAGGAGAGAGAATACAAGGCCAAGCTCGCCAAAGCCAAAGATCCCAGAAACGTCGACGGCTGGATCCCCGTCGAAAAGGACGGCAAGCTCCTCATTCCACGTCAACAAACTCACCATGAAGAATACAACATCACATATGTTAAGCGCAATGTGGATGAAAATGGTGAGATTATTCGACCTCAATCGCCCGAAGGTAGCGAAGTCCCTGGTGAAACTCCCGACAAGGCCGTCAACAAACGGTTGACCAGAACTCGCTTTGATGGCAAAAAGTTCCCGCCCACGCGTGACGTGTCGGAGGCTCCGTCGACAGCTTCTACTCCAAATGGCAAAAAACGAGCAAGCCCCTCAGGAGCCGACACCAGGGAAGATACGCCTACTTCGAAACGCCGGAAGATCCATCTTACCGTCAATGGTGGCGAACAGCCTAAACCGAAGCATCCGAATCAATATACCAAAGCAAAGGAGAGAGAATTGGCTTCGACTACTCAAACCGCCCCAGCTCCAGCTAGTGTCAAACCCGTAATGCCGTCATCATCGTCATCGTCGAAGCCAACATGGCGGGAGTTGTCGCCCATGTCGAAACGCACACACAAGTGGACAGACCCGGACTTGATTGAGTCGATCAAGGAAGATCACTCGTGGTTGCATGATGACCCCAAAAGGGCAGAAGAGTGGAAGCACAAGCTCCTCAATGGCATCAATCCAGTTCGAAGCCTGAGCATGCTGCTCAAATGGAACTACTGGCAAGTGACCAACCAAGCCAAAAGACCACGGGCGAAAAAACAGGCGGCGGAGCCAGAAGAAGCAGTCAAAGAAACCGAGGACTCCAGCGAGTCTCAAAAGCCGAGACGAAGGGTGACCAAGCCCAAAAGAGCCGAGGACAGCGAGCGATCAACACCTGCAACGACGCCGGCGCCAGAAGCCGTCAATGGCGTGGCAACACACGCGCCGAAGCTGGGAGTAAACACACGAGCAACGAAGTCCTTCCGGAGAGCACCTGGGGCGGAAAACGCCACTTTCAGAGACAAGGACTTGGAGCAAGATAAGCGCAATGGCACGAACAGTGGAAAACAGGCAGGTACAGATATGGAACCATCATCAAGAGGAGAGGAGGTGGCGGTGGACAGAAATGGCAAAGACCTGAACAGTAACGCATCATCAACCAGAAGGCCAAGCATGAAGAGAGAAGAGAGCGACTCGACGATTGTGATCAAGGGCAATGCCCCATCGACAAGGCGATCGCTACGGAATACACGGAGATCCAGTGGCTAAGTTTGTCTATTGGTAGAAGACATTATTGGTTTGGCAACAGCACGACGTGTGTATGAAGGCGTCACTGTAGGGCGATAGTCGCCGTTTCAAAGAGAATCATCCTACAGAGTCTTAGATATGGAATTTACTGATAGAGTCTCGAGTGTCTTAGTAAATAAAAGCGATGCCATATTTTTCCATGTCTGAGTAGGTATGCTGTACTCGGTACAACGGAAGCACTTGTCTGCCTTACTGGATACGGAAAAACAAGGCTGCAAGGCTGAGCTGCGGGCAAGGCTGAAGTCCAATTTCCAACCCCCAGGAACAAGTCAGCAGTGGGTGGCAGTCGCCCGTCAAGTCTTGGCAGGAGCGAAACTGCGCTTCGGACATTTCACTTTGCGGACCTTTTCCCTTTCTTCATGTTGTTATTGTCTCCTCCAAGTCCGCGGCATCAAGTTCACTATTGACCGGTCATCGCGTGAATTTGTGCTCCTTTATCTCGGCGAGTTTGTGATCTTCCATTTCACAAGAAATCTCAACACTCATCTAGCATTCTCCGCTCTCCGGCTGCTAGTCCTTTCTCAGCTGCACGGTCCCGAAGACGCCTCTGCTTCTCCCCTGCACGCCCTCGTCATGACCAAGAAGAAGCGTCACCATCCCGATGTCGAAGAGGTGCTCGCACGGCCATGGTGCTACTACTGTGAGCGCGACTTTGACGACCTCAAGATTCTGATCAACCATCAAAAAGCAAAGCACTTCAAATGCGAAAGATGCGGTCGAAGGTTGAACACGGCAGGAGGCCTCAGCGTCCACATGAGTCAAGTCCACAAAGAGAATCTCACCGCAGTCGACAATGCCCTCCCTAACCGAGCGGGTTTAGATATCGAAATATTCGGGATGGAGGGGATACCCGAAGATATCATCCAACAACATAATCAGCGAGTCCTGACCAACTTTCACCAAGCTCAAGCTGACCGGCAGGCGGCTTCTGGCAATAATGCTCAAAGTGCTCAGCATCCGAACGCCCCCAAGAAACCCAAGATCGAATCTGTTTCCGATATTAAGAAACGTCTGGCAGAACACAAGGCTGCCAAACTGGCTGCTGAGCAAGCCGACGGAGGAAGCAGTGGTGGTGGCACTCCTAACCCCCCTACAGCTACTATAGTCCAAGCCAAACCCCAGATAAATACGGTGAGTCGATTTAAGTCTTCACCGTGTCACACTCACTCATTCTCGAAACAGGCAGCGTCTCCAACCTACCCTGGATATCAACAACCCTATGCAGCGCCACCTACGAATGGTTCGTACAGTCAAGCCCCTTCCTTCGCCCAACCCCCAACCGCTTTATCTGCTCCGTATCAGGCGTCGCCTATATATCCTTCTGCCGGATCTCCGCCTGCTGGCGAAGCCTACGGCCAACACGCTGCAACTCCACAGCCTGGGCAACCTGGATATGGGCAGATACCATACCCTCCACAGCCATACGTTCAGCCGCCGCAGCCATCATTTCAGCCGCCGCAACCTTCACCGGTGGGCTATCCCCCACAACCGAGTTTTTCACCACCTCAGTACACGTCACCCTATCCAGGCCAATCCTATCCTCCACAACCCGCTGGACCTCCACGTCCATTTGCATCGGGATCTCCAGTCCCAGGGTTTCCTCAGCCACCCCCAGCTCTCACACAACGCTCCCATTCGCCTGCTACAAACAGTAATTTTCCTGCACCAGTGCGTACTGGCAGTGTAAGTCTACCTAGTGCTCCAGGATTGCCGCAGAGGCCCGCTTTTGGTGCTCCGCCAGTCAATGCTTTCCAATTTCAACAAATGCATCAAGGTCAGATCCCTGCTCCACAATCCCATAACATTGTGCCGCAGTACGCTCCCGGACAGACTCAAGGCAGCACAAGCACGCAAGTCCCGCCACAGGTTCCCATACCGAACCAGCCTTCTGCTGTTGAAGCTCAAGATGCCTCGTCTCTTGATGACTTGATTGCAAATGCTTCGAAGCAAGCTGATGCCGATGCCGCCGCCGCCGCCGCCGCCGCTGCTACTGGCGAGGCTGTCGCCAAACCCGGAACGTCACTTGCCACCACTGCGTCGGCCACTACCAAGGACGAAGCCAGCGAAGATAAAGCTGGACCGAAGAAAGACAAGGAGAAGGAGAAACCAAAAGCAACCAGGTTGGTCTACTCTGATAACGAGACAAGTCCTGAAGAGAAGATGGCCATGTTGCCAAAGTACGCATTTACTCCTGCACAGAAAACAATTGTGGTCTAAACGATACTGTTCGATCGACCTGCTCGCCAAGCAGTGGGTAACGATCCCGTCGCTCTCTTCCATCAAGACTTGATTTGTCAATGAGACTGGAACTCGGCAGCATACATTTTTCAGCTAAGTCTTGCAGACGATATCAGCTCACGCTTCACATTATCCTTTCGTCCCTGCCGCAACACTGGCAACAAATGTAATACCGATGGTACAAGCAAGATAGGCGTTTTTTTTTTGGTGAGTTCACAAGGGGCAAGTCATCGTCTCATTGAGGGTGGGTGAGATGGAGGGTCACTGACACGGATTTTCGACATTTTCTTTTCGCCTTGAACAGCTATAGCAGGCGCCGCCACCATTGCATGAGGCTTGACACGATTCCACTGACCGAGCCAAAAAGGAAAGACAAGTGGCAAGGCAGTGATTTTCGAGTGGCTTTTTTGTGACAGAAGGCAGCATCTAGCATATCCACGATACCAAAGCTGCTTGCGTGTAAGTGCAAGACAGGTTGGTGTCTCCTTTAGTTATGTCTCAAATACCACTTGATGTTGACTTCAAACTTTGACTTGTTTGATTCTGATTTTTCCTGCGGTCTATTCATCATTTGATTTAGTGCTGCTGCTGCTGCTATTTATGTATATATGTGACCGACCGCTCAATGCTCAACACGCCCAAAGCGCTTAGGAGAGAGGCTCGAGTGCCCATCGCTACCTAGCTATCTACACTAGACTATCGTGACTATCTACGCTATACAATGAAAAAGAAAGAGGGGAGGGAGGGGAAAGAGAGGGAGAGGGAGACAAGGGGAAAAGGGGGGGAAATGACCACGCTCTCTACATGAAGACAAAGAAGGGGAGAAAAAAAAGCATGATTTTGTTGTCCCATCCATATTCGATCGATCGATCGATTTGAAGACTCGCTCGGTGGTTTCCCGTTTCTGATTCTCTGCCTTGCAAGGACCCATTGCATTGCACACGCGTACGGGGACCGGGTTTGGGGGGGGGATGGGTAGTGAGTGAGTGAGTAAGTGAGTAGGGGCAAGGACAGGACAGAACTGGGGCATGGCATCTCTCTTCTCTCCCTCTCTCTTCTTTCCTCTTGGCCCAAAACCGGGGTATCTATCTGTTCGGGTGAGACGGTGAGATAGCTAGCTAGCTAGCTAGCTAGCAGCTCCCCCCAAACGTTTCTGTCGCGGCAGCTCGAATCGCTTGAATATCGTGTGTCGTTGTCATGTCACCTGCCTCTGCCCCCGGCCGCCTCTACCCCTCTTGTTTCTCTTTCTTGGACGCTCTCTCAACGACGACGTGACGACAATAGGGCAAAGATGGTTTGTTCGACGTACGGAAAAAGCAAGGGGGGGCCATGTTGCAATTCGCTTCGACCAGCTCAATTGATTCTTTTTTTCCTCTTCTTAAAATTTCTTCCTCTCCTCTTCTCCCTCCTATTCATCTCGGTCTCGTCATCATGTCGATTCATGTCTGGCTCCTGTCTTACATTTTGGCCTTGGTTGTATTTCTCTTTCTTCCTACCCCATCACGAATGATGTCAATTGTTTTGTATCTTCACGGCCACTCAGCACTCCATTATCCATCGTTTCCCCACCCCAGACAGCTGAACGTAATGTAGTTGGGTCGGTTCGCTTGTTTGTGCATCATTTTCATGTCCATCTTCGCCCTCGGACCCCCATTTTTTCCTAGTTGCGGGAATGAAGGCTGGCTGTTTCCGCAACCCGAGCAGATACCGCAACTGTTGCCTCTCTCCTCTCATCCGGAACCAACACCATAGCCATCCCTCAACTTGGCTCGAACCGGCGGTGCCAATCCTGCAATGAAGCCTTCGAACCTCTCTTGCCCAATCAATCCACCAAGGCCGTTGATGACCCTGGCGAAACTGGCTCGTACATCGCTGTATTCCTGTCCTTGTCGTCCTTTGAGGGGGAACTGCGCGATTGCAGAAAAGTACAAGACCAGACTCGATTCCATGGCCTGAGGATTCTTCTCCAAAATATTGTTAAACCCTATGAACGCCGAGGCCTTCTCATGCGATGTGCTTATCTTGGACATGGACTGCAAAAACGGCTCTGCGAACTCGGACAAGAAGGGTGCGAGATGGTCCGCGCACGGCACACCAAGTCTGCCCAATGCAGTTGCGGCGTTCTCACTTGCTGCATCAGGGACTTCTTCGTTCGTAATCATGGACAACAGACCACGATAGAGCGGCTCGATAAGAGGCGCGATTCTGCTGGCCGGTGCTCTTGCCGCGATTTCGCCCATACTCCAGCACACGTTGGCGAGGACGTTGAAACCGTTTTCGGAATCCGTGTCCGGGATGGAGTCCAAATCCAGCTGTCTTATCAGAATCGGAATCAGTTTCTCTAGGTAGGGATCCAGGCTGGGGTAGAGTGCAATCGCGCAGTCACCCAGAACCGCGTATGCGGACTGTCGCACATCAGTGGTTGCATCTTCCATACAGAAGCCCAACAGGTCGAAAAACTGAGGCTGCGAGTTCTGTACAAGTGGTGCTGACTTCTCTGGAGAAATTGCTTGGATGATCGCGCTAAGAAGATCCAAAGCCGTGACGATGAAGTCCTTGTCTGGTTGATCGACAGTCTGGCCACTGATATAAGCCATGTGCTGTTGTAGGTTTGCGTAAATGAGCTTGATGCACCGGTCGAAAATGGGGGGAGCGAACTGTGCAAAGGTATCGCCGTAAGCCATTGCGATGTACCCTAAACACCCGAGCAAGGGGAACATTTCCCGGGAGTCGTCTTGGATTTTGTTCCATCGTTGGATCAGGACAGGCATGAGCAGGTCGACAAGCTCCGGCGTGGCAATTTGTGAGCCAACATTGTCAGCGAGAGTCTGCAGGCAGTCGTACAGGATGTACATGTTTTTATCCTTGTACCGTCTGAAGCACTCGGTGAATTGTCGTAAGATAGGTTCGACGTACGGCTTCAATTTGTCTCCAGATTTCTCCTCGAGGGACGCAAAAGAGCTAGCCCCGGCTTCCTGGACTTTCTTGTTCGGATCGAGCATGCGCTGCAGGAGACCCTCCATCATAGGTTCAAAGTATCGTTGTTTATCAGCTTGAGATTCCAGTCGGGCCGCCCACTCGGAGTAACGGGCCAGACACCAGCACGTAATCTGACGAACAACTGGTTCCTCGTCCGACAGCAGAGAGATGAGGAACGGAACGAGCTCGGGTAGATGAGGAGAGACGACGTCCATGCAACCTTCTGCGATGGCGCCAAGAGCTAGGACTGCGGCTTCGCGTTTCGGCCAGAGAGAGTGAGAAAGGTTCTCCTTGAGGTATGGCAGAATGATGTTGAAGACGGCCGAGTGATAGTTGACCGCGAAAACATCCAGTGCTGCGGCAGAGCATTTGCGCAAACTCCACGCGTTCTCGGGATCTTCGTCATCCCATTCATCTTCGTCTTCATCTTCGTCCTCAACTTCCCCGTCGCTGAGATCGTTCTTAGGTTGTGATGTCCCATTCGCCTGTGGCGTTCCAGGCTGACTCTCGTCCTTTTCGATTGAAACAACACCTCTTCCCGCCTTGGTCTGGGCAAATTGAGGTTTGATGTCTTCGGCACGATCCTCAACATCGGCATTGTTTTCTTCACCACCCAGTCTGAACGCATCTTCTTCTCCGTATACCATGCCCGAGAGAAGCACAGGAATGATCTTTTCCAAATAAGGCCCCATTTGACCTCGCAATTGATCTTGTTCCCCAATGTTCAACCAGAACTCGGCCGCGTCCAACGCTAGATCTGGGTGATCTATCGATTGTTGTTGGGTGAGGATATAATTGACGAGTCCCTCGAGATGAGGCGCCAACATGTCGGGTCTCGCATCCACCAGTTGCACAAGAGACTGGCACACTATGCGTCTGACTTGCACGTCCGGATCTGAGGCAAGTTGGAAGATAGTCTGCAGATAGACGTCTAACGTGGAAAATAACACTTGCGATTTTTGTGGAATAAACGACTTGAGGGTACTGAGCGCAAAGACCCTGATCTTAGGGTTTGGATGAAGAGCAAACTCGAGCAATTTCGGCACGATGACACTCATGGGGCGCTGACCTTGAAACTCCTTGTCGAGCAGTTTTCGGTTATCCTCACATACCTTCGCCAAAGCGCTCATCGCACCTTCCTGCGTCTCTCCTGCAACGTTTCCACCGGCGTTACCGACGAGCGCCAGCAGTTCTTGCAGAATCTCAGGCCATTGCAGCAGACCACCCTGCTGGACCGTCTCGGTGATCACAGTCCCTGCGAAACTGCGCAACTGTGAGTTCTGGTCGCGGAGAACATTAAGGGTGGCCGCCTTAATGTATGCCAATTGATCCTTGGGAATTTGGCTATAGAACAGTTTGATGTGGTTCTTCAGGTTGACAGCGGCGGCATAGCGAATGAGGAAAAGACTGGGTGCAGCGAGATTCAGAGCCTGGCCAAGCTGCGGAGTGCTAAAGATGTAGGTAAGGTAATTGACATAATCCTTATTGTTGCGCGCATTCATGAGCATCTGTTTGCTTGGTTCATGTCCTGGTTAGTGATTTTGCTCTTCTGGAAAGTTTGGGATTGTCCCTTCTGAGGAAGACCCGCGCGGGGATCTTCTACCCCGGATTTCTTTTTTTTTTTTCCCTTCTCTCTTTGGGGCCTGAAGTAAAAGACAGACGACAGGAAGTCAAGACGCACCACCTCAGCTTCTTTTTGCTTGTTTCTGTCATGGCCACTTAAGGAATTCTTTAATAATTCCGACAACTGCCTCAACCCATCCTCCTCCGGTTGCCACGTCATGACGGGCACCGTTGCCCGGAGGCTCTTCGATCGAGGAAAAAGATGCGCAGTGTCGTGGTTCGGGAGGGACGTTCAAAGAGAACCGAAGAGGACAGGAGAGCCTTCACGTTCCCGCTTGTCTGAAGTGGGAACTTTGGATACAATGAGACCCGAGGCAGAATGAGGTGGGACGTTGATTGCTCGTGAGTTTAGCCGACTCGTTTCCTCACAAACCTGCGAACAAAGCCCAGTCAGTTGAAAGTTGCCCACTTCTTCATCAATCATCCAAGGCGCCGAGAATTTGGACATACAGTACACACACCATCAATCACATCAAGCCAGACGGCAGTCATCAACCTCAGCAATGTTTTGACACAAAGACGACAGGGTAATTGTGGAGGAGAATTTTGGACAAGTGCACGCAGAGCAGTTTTTGGGGGGAGGGGATGAAACGCTGCGGCATGGCAAGATCCCAGATCCAGATCGTCTTTAGCGCCCCTCTTTCCCGCCAATCATATTCTACTGGATGCGTGACTAAGCCGGGACGGATTTACAATACACCGATGTTGATCCGTTCTCGGGCCGGCGCGGCGGGTAAGAAGCGTTGGAGGGGGTTAAGGGAACAACAAAGTTGTGAGTTGTTGACTGTGTTACGAGACACTCATCAAGCGTGCACGAGATACTTACTGGGGGCCGCAAGGCTGTGCATATTATCGTCATGCTCTATATACTACCTCAGGTCCACACCATCTTCTTCAAGGAATGACCTAGCTGCTCAAAATATCCAGTACGTTTCTTCGCTTCTTCCAACGAGATAATGGCCGACTGCTCTACCAGGTCGTTTCCTTGCTGTTCACCTTGTTCTGTGCTCCCTGTGAGAGCTCGTCGAATTTCGCCTGCCACATTCTCAGCCACCGCTAACGGTGCCTCAGCCTGGATTCCCACCACTCCATCTGAGTCTGTCGTCGCTGCCGGGATCACCTTCATGGCCAACTTTCTCGATGTTGGTGCATGGCTGGGACTCAGCCAAGACAGGATCCCTGTTCCTCCGTCGATTCGATTCTCAGAGTCATCCGCCTTAGGCGCGACGTAGTTTTGTAAGGATCTCGTGTTCGTCCGAATGGTGCTTCCCTTTCCAGGATGATATATTACCACAACCCCGGCATTCAGCTCTTCCTTCATCTGCTTTTCAGTGAAAGTCGACGTGATATACGTCCCATATCGGATCTTGGAGACAGAACGCAAGTCAACTTTCTCAAAAGAGGCAAGTTTTTCGGTGGTCCAATCAAACCTGCAACAGTACAGAGCTGCATCGGTCAACAGGATCACCGCCTCTTCGAATGGCAGGGTCCGCAGAGTGTTCTCGTGTGCGGGCGTTAGCATTGTCCACCCCTGAATCAGATCTTCGTCCTTCTCCTGTATAACCTGTTTTGCACAACTCTCAATCGCAGCTTGCCGAGCTTGATCAACAGATATGCCTGGGTCTTTACTCATCATACTGCTCTCAAAATCTTCAAACACTCTCCATGACATATTCCCAAGTAAGAAGTCAATGACTGCTTGGGAGAAATAGTCATTGACCATGTTGTTGTAGTATCGAGTCAACGTCAGGCTGAAATCATTCAAGGCTCCACGATAGTTCCGCCGCCGGGTTCGTGTGAAATCCCCTTTCAGTGCTGCCGTGGACGCATACTGCCTTGATATGGCGTCTCCGTTATCAGCCATAGGGTGTTGAACCAGGTGGTGGTCTCATCGTGCAGTAAATCAATCTCGAACCCTTCCCTAGCCAGGTCTTTCTGCAGCATGTACTGTCCAAAAGCACTCTGCGCCACGTTGGTGCGGTCTAAGCAGTCCATACAGTTCGTACGGATTATCCCTGACTGGGTTGTCTCGATTCCGGTTCCAGAGATCACGGTCTCCCCGTAATTCTTGATGGTATCTTCGAGCTTGTCCACAAGCTTTGAGACATTCTCGAACTTCATACCGCGGCACTCGGCATGGAAATCGAACCACTCATACTGGACGTCTTCAAGTTGATTAGACTTCTGCAAGGAGTGAACCTTGTTCTCGAAAGCATCGCCGATGATCTTCTCAGGACCGTGTTTATCCACCAAGCAGACAACTTGAACTCCACCGTATCGTCGCCGAAGATCCTGAAAATGTTTCTTCATAGCTACATCATTTTTGGATGCCGACTGGTGGAGCATCGGTGTCGGCTTCAACGAATAGGGCGATTGTGAAAAGTAAAGGGGGATAGAGGCTCGCGTCTGTACAAACGATCGTATTCGCCGAGAAGGAGACCAATCTGGAGCAGACAGGATCTGTTCAGTTTCCACGGCATTGGCACAATTGCCTTCATCATCGAGGCCGCGTCGGAGGTACCGAAGGCCTGATCGCTTGACGGATCGCCGCGAAATCAGCGTGAGGAGGTAGGATTGCATGTCAGTGCTGATGCTGGCAAGACCTTGTTGATCATGATTTACGGCGTCTTGTACCCCTGCCGATTGCTGGCCATGCTCAGCGTCCACCACACAGGCCGAGTTTGGATCCTCTGACTCTGCTTTTGTAACTGTGAAAGTCCTCTGTCCCACAAAACCTTGTATAATGGGCATCATGCATGAATCTTGTCTGGTATCCATGAATGGACCTAGGAGGTGTCGGTTCCAAAAATACTGTCGCAATCAGAACCTAACTCATTCTTTACGATCATGAACACGAACATACCATAGGGTCAAGAGTCTCACGTGAAGGAGCAGTCGCGCTCATCTCCATGACCGCTAGCCTGCGCGTCAAATCAATATCGTACGAGAAGAAGTAACTGCCCGAGGTCAAGATCATCTTCGTCCTCCTGAGAATCTTGGGGGTCGCCTCGGTAATGGAGGTGTCGTTGAGCAGTTGCTCGGCGTCTTTGTTATGGGTTTGTTCTGGTGCTTCAATGTTGCCACTGGCTTCAGGTTGATTTGCTGCGACCGCTGCTTCTGCTTCAGGACTCGACCTGGTCCCCGTCTGCGAGGCATCACTCGTATCTACAGGGTCATATGTGGTCCCTGAGGTCTTGCCTCCACCCCAGCCTTGCTTGGAAAACCATTGAGCAGCAAATCGTCCATATTGGCCTCGGTTAGCAATGACATCTCTGGCGATGCTGGTGGGATTTGATATCTTTTGCTGAGGGGTGGTATGTTCTATTGGAGTCTCAGGCTCTCCTTGGTCCTCTAGCCTAGTACTTTGGTCCTCCGTGTCGGTCACATCGGTATCGGTGTCAGTTGTGGACGATTCTGTAGTTTGAGACTCCAGGGCGGTGGTGATGGCCAGGGACGCTGCTTTCTGCGAGGACAGGGGGAGAATGGCAACATCGGTAATGACATAGACGGGTTTGCCGAATATTTGGGCAACTTGCTCCCGTTGAGTGATTGCGATGAGAAAAGACGACGAGGCAATCGAGAGCAAACCTACAACTGATCTAAGCGACTCGGAGTTCGTCGGCCAAGTTGTGGACTTCCTTACCGACTATACCGTGAGCTTCCAAAGGCACTGGTTTCTTCGCCAACGCATCCGACTTCTGAAGCTCCTTGACCTGTCGGCTCTTGTAGTCGATCTGAAGAGCTTTCGGGTGCTCTGCAGGACCGTGAGCCTGGAGGACGACGCCATCAACGGCTGCCCAAATCAGCAGTCTGCGAACGAGACCCATGTTTGTACAAGGAGAGGGCGAGAGGTTCTATGCAGCATAAGGAGCCTTCGCCCGTGAGCAGGCTTGTCCGAGGTCAGGATGGACCTGTGGCGGTAGTCTTGTAGAAAGTGATTGTTCTTGTAAACGTGGTGGAAGAGACCCAAGGCTTTGTTTCACTAAGGGTCGCAAACCACTGACATCATTGGGCGTCATCTTGGTCAACACCATCAACAAACGAACTCTGTAAAGACAAGAGTGTCGCGACAAGTTGCACCTGACATGATGCATATTTCGGTCCAGATGCTACATTGTTTCGAATCTGAGCGAGCGGATAGACGGAAGAATCATGTTTCTGTATCGTTGAATTTTGGCCGCTCTATCGCAAGTGATGCATTTCCATCATTCATCGTTATCGTTACACTTTCTTAGGTCCCAGTCTGGGTCATAAAGCATGGCCATCCTGCAAAAACACTTGGGCAATCATGAAGCAAAATCTATGCCCTCTACCCTTGCCGCTAATAAATCCCTTGAATCCACCCTCACCCCAACGTTGGCCTTGACATCAGGGGCCGTTGCATCTCCGCCCAACGGCATAGGCCCGTCATGGGTGAGCAAAGGGCTACCGGGAACCGCGTCGAGCGGTGCTTCGTGCAGTGCTGGCTTCTTATGTGATGCCAATTTGCCCGCTTTTTTCTTCTCCAGTGCGCTCTTCACCCAATCTGCAACTTCTTTGTCCGCAGTGTCTGGAGTTTCACTATTTGAGAAGGCGGACTCGATGCCGGCCTCGGCGGCCTGCTCGCCTTCCTCGTCCTCGCAAATCGTGGGTGGCTTCAGTAGTGGTGCGAGCCATGCATGTCGGAGTAGCATGGCGTAGGTTGGTCTAAGCCGGGGAATTTTGTTCAGGCAGCCCCGTACAAAATCAATGGCTGCTTCAGAGAATTGATCAGCTGGAAGATCTGGAGGTTCACCATCCACAATGGCCTATCAGATTTGTTAGCAACTGGTTTCGATTGAAAGGTGGGCAAGGACTTACACTAAGCTGGCTGAATATATTGTCGTAGGTTTCGGGGGGATAAGGATATCGGCCGAGTGCGCATTCGATGATGGTGAGGCCGAGTGACCAGATATCGGACTGCACGCTATAGGTGCCTCCGCCAGCGCCGACTTGAGCCATGCCGCCTCCTGATATGCGTTCTGGTGCCATGTAGCTCTGGCACCCAATATTTGTTTTGGCTATTGAAGCCACAAGATTGCCGCTGACCCCAAAGTCACAGATCTTGACTTGGCCTCGTGTGTTGACCAGTATATTCGTCGGTTTGACATCTCGGTGGATGATGTTGTGTTCGTCCTTGAGGCATTTGAGCCCCATGACTGTCGACAAGGTGATTTTCTTGAGGACTCCTTCAGGGACCCCATCCCCGTATAACTTGTCCACAGAACCACCGTCCATGTATTCAATGCAGATATAAACAGAACCTTCTTGAAAAAATGCGCCATAGAAATCGATAATGAAAGGTGATACACATCGGTGTAGAATGTCCAACTCCATGATGATGGCCGCAAACTTTGAGTCCTCGAGCTCGAGGCGGATTTCTTTCATGGCCATGACAAGCCCGCTTGTCCCTTTTGTGTCTGATTGTGAATCTACCTCTTCGTCATCTTTGGGAATGGAGGCTGATGATTGCCGCACCATATTGCCTCGGAGACCTAACCCAGGGCGTCTCATCTTGGGCCGTGCGTGCCTGACTTTGAAAACCGTTCCATAATTGCCCTTACCCAACTCTGATAGCGTGTCGACCTCGTCTAAAGAAATTGAAAAGGTACTGCCACCAGCAAAATCGATACCACTCCCGTGGATGACCGCTTTGTTGTGGAAATTTAGAGTCCCCTTTTTGGTGTCAATGATGTTTGAGTACTTGTTGAATTGAGAGCCAGTGTCTGTCTTGTCCTCCTCCTGTCCAGCAGGGGCAGGTTTGTGCGCATCTGACAATTTCATGCCACCTGGCTTCAAACCTCGTTTTGCTGCCAATCCGCCCATGGGAGGTCTGGGAGTCATCACTCGAGGACTGCCCGGAATCGGGGAAGGCGAGGAGCCAAAATTTGGCGCGTTCGGTCGTTGCATACCCGGGGGTAGTCGAAGGTTGGCTGCAGAAGAGTTCGGGGAAGGAGGAGGAGCTCCTGTCAACGCGCCGCCTACAAAAGCACCGTGCTGTTGACTGGTAAACCCTGCAGTTTGTGCTTTTGTGGGAGGTGCACCCTGCCGAGATAGGGAGAAGGCCTTCATCTTTGCCTGAATATCAGAGTTCAACCCACTCGCCCGTGAAGGCAGCGGGCCAGGTCGTCTCGCTGCATTGACAGGGCCTAGCGGGGCGGAGGAGGGGTTCATGGTAGGACTTATGCTGTTTCCTGGCGAGCCCAGCGAAGGGGGCCTGGAGGGAGATTGTGGAGAGGAAGCTGTCGGTGAAGCCATGAAGGACGAGGTTGACTCTGAAGCTGGTTGTTCGTAGAATTTTGAGGTTTCGGGAGAGGACGGCTGTTGCGGTGATGAGTCGTCCATGGTGACTAAGAAGGTGGTGGTGATTCCCTACTTGGTTGGAGGGGTGTGTGTGTAGGTAATATTCTGTGGCCGGCGTGCGCATGCAATCGCGCGAGGATATGGACTCCGTCAAGGCGGCATGCGACTCGGAACAGGAGTGACAACAGACGAAGCAAGATACGAGCGTGAAAGAAAGGCCTACGTGTAGACGGTGATTGACCGGTCTATACGACTCGATGGGAGGAGGGAGTGAGGACCAGTGTTCGTGAGGGCTCGTTCGGAGGAAGAGGCGAGGTGACGACGAGAGCGTGAGCCGGTGGTGGAGAAACGGGGGATGAGGCCCAAAGTTGCAATCAATTGTTGGAAGATGTTTCTTGTCTCTCGACTTCTCATTTGACCGGAAAGCAAGATCCTGGATCTGCTGAGCAACCACGGCGTTTTTTTGGGCTTGCCGGGGGGTGACAAACCTCAAATCGGGAGGCAAGGCCAGGGCAAGGCAAACGGAGGGAGCGGCTAAGCTTCAGGCAAAGTTGAGCAACTGAGCTGAGGTTGGCGGATGTTTTTTTTTCCTGCACTCAATGCAGGGTGGGGATATGCCCCGAATATTTGAAGGTCAAGGTAAAAGATGAAATGATGATGTGTCTTCAGGCACAGAGATCCTTGATACAGTAGCAAAAGATAGACAAAAACCCAACCAGGCTCTTAGTGGATATAAAACGTGTCGATCAGCTTCTACGATACTCCATACGTTCAATGCAAGTCTGTGGATGGCTCGATGGGTTGGAGTAGTGGGTTGTGTGGTGGACGCGTGTGTGAAGAAATACGTGAGGCTTAGCTACGTGGGTTGAGGCTTGCGATGCATTAGTTCCATCACTCGAGAAGAGAAAAAGTGAGGCATGAGATTTTTGCCCTGGTAGCCAGCTTCCTAGGCTAGCAGCCTAGGTGTGCAGGTATGTAATACCTGGTAGGGCAACCTGGAAGCGTACCTACATAGGAAGGGTGGTAGGTATCTTGGCCCTTGGAGTAAAGGACCCAACGTATTCGAGACTGTCACCAGGGAGAAAAGCAGGGAGTGCTCTCGGTAGGCCAACACCTAAATTAACTTCCAGGCAGATAGGCAGGGCGCAAAATAGGGCACCTCCTGCCGACGTGGAGGTGAGAGAGAAGAGAGAACAAAGGAGCTTGGTGCGAGGTTTGTACTCGGTACAGGTACGAGGTACACAATATGGCATTTAAACCAAACCTCATATTTGGTCCCTCGGCGTCCCTGGGCGTCCCAAGGGCAAACATAGCTTTAACCAGGACGAGCTTAAGCCATTCATCGCACACAGAAATGAGCAGCCCTTGTTGGCCCCTGATTGCCCCCTGAAGTACCTCCAACTTCCCCTCCCGACGTCATTCTACATCAGCGGATACGTATGAGGCTTTAGCCAGTGTCCAACTGAGTTGGACAATGAGCTGATCCAACGTCGACGCTGTGCCAGACAGAAACGTCGACTAGTGAAATAAGCCATAGTGACATAGCCCAGAAACCCCACAATCAGGTGTTCCTCCTCTATTATAGCATAGAATGAAGTCATTGTACATGAAAATGTTGATCGTCGTCTCTTTTGTTGCCCTATCTGGAGATCGTCTCTCCATATCGCACCACCCATCCGTACAAGCCTGTATCGGTACAATGTTTCCTTAACGGTCCTCGCAGCGCCATACGACCCGCTCGTGCCCACGAGTCACCGTTTCCAGAACTCCGTAACCAGTCAAGCAATGTCGACAATTTGAGTTAAACAACCAGATACCTCCCGATGCCCATTGTTGAAACGGTGTGTGCCCGAGATTTCAATTGGTAGCCCACTCCACCGTCTCCAGAGCCAGAAGTACCAGAATTAGTGTGGAAGGCAAAATCCAAACCACATAGCTTTGAAAGAGAATGTTTGACATGACCGTGGGATACACGTTGTTTGTCTGTGTAATGGCGCTCAGCTGGAGAGCAGATGGAGCCCCAGTGAGGAGAAAAGCAACCACGATGAAGATCTTGTCGTCGACAATGCTGACTGGGACGTATTTGGCGACCAGTGCGAGAAAAGGTGCCATCAAAAGTGTCGGGAACACCATACGCGCCAGCAATGAAGCATACAGAAGCCTGCTCTCTTCCTTCGGATCCGTGATATCTCCTGGTTGATTCTTCGGGATGGTGTTTCTGGCAAGGTTCCCTCCAAGCACCACCAGAATCAGGGGCACCGCGACAGCACCACTTTGTTGCACTGCTCGAGTGGCGGAATTTGCGAGGAAAGTTCCTTTATCGAAGAAGAGATGCTGTAGGTAGGGCACAGACGCAACTATTATGGCAGCCAACATCGACCACAACGGCGGGTTCATAAATTCCCACACGCCCGCCAGGAAAGCTCGAGTCTTGAACGCGGTGTATGACATGGTTTTTTGCACGGGCTTGGGAAGAGAGTCAAAGGCCCGCCTAGACCTCATCCGA